TAGCATTTATTTGCATACGAGAAGAAGATTGCGCACCCGCTTGTTTGCTCTTTTCTGGCTGAGTGTGTAAATATTTAAAGGCTTTTATTGCTTTTCTCCTGGCGGGGCCAGAAATTTTCATTCATATTCGTGAATGGCAAATGCAGACACTGGGCAAATTATGGGCTCTTCAACGTTTTAAAGACCTTTTACGGCTTGCCCTCAAGGGACTCGGGGTAAGAAAGTTGTTCAATCGAAACGACAATTAATTGGCTAAAATAAATATATAAACGACAAAAGGACTCCGAGGTCTCCCAAAACAGTAAAATAAAGAAATAAATAAAAGGACACAAAACGGCGAGTCCAATGCACATGAAATGCACAAGTCAAAAGCCATTTTGGTATACCATAAAAATAAAAATACAAATTTATTTGATTGCATTTTTATACACATCGCTTCGTCTCCATATTCATACACACAGCTTGGTTCAAAATATTGGTATCTCTAAACGGATATAGTATTATTTATTTTTTTTAAATAATAATATAATATACTTAATAATATAATATACTTGTTAAAGTTGAAGTTAACGTTGTTAAGTAAGTAAACAGCATTGAAAACTTTCACAAATTATAACAAGTTATTCAATATTTATAAATAATATTTTATTAAAAGGTTACAATTTTGAAATTTTAAAAATATAAATCTTTTTATTTAAAGCAAAATACAATACTTTTCGTTGTTCTACTATTATTTTGAGTACAAATGTACATAAAAATGGCTTGATGTATAAAACAAATTCCGATGACAAACGTTTTGTACTTCTCACTTTTATTCCAGTGTTTGCATCGAATGTGCCACCTGCAAATGTTGGCGATGATTTAACTAACAAAAAAAGAGGGTCAAACGGGATTTTAATATTTTTGCAGCCCTCAGTAATTTATTTGTATTTGTTTATAAAGTCTGCTTTGCAATAATTAACAGACGACCTCATGCGAGCTGCTCTGACTTTGGTTTCGGTTTACGGTTTACGGTTTGATGTGTGAATTGTGCAAACATTTTCCAAACAATTATGTACAGATTTCCACGCTCATTTTCAAGGTTCACACTCGTTTTCAACTGTATTTTCAACTAAATTTAGTCAGCACCAACGGCCAACCAGCCAACAACAATGGCAATAACAATTAAAAATGCGCTGGCATTGCATTTTATTCAGTTTAACAGTTGAGCGCTTGCAGGCGAAAACAAACACTGCCAAAAATGAAAAATAGATGGAAAAGTAAGGCTGTGATCCAATTTCAAGCCACGGCTTTCAGTTCCCCAGCAGAGCTTAGTTGCTTAGTCAACTTTACTGGGTGAGTAATCGCAAACTGAATTCCGCTTTACTTGGTTCACTTCTATCTTTATTTTGTTTTACTTGTTGGCGCAAAACCACTGGCCAAAAAGGCCAGTCTGTAAGCGGCTTTTAGCAGGGAGAAGCGTTCAAGTGTCACTTGAAAGAGTCATTAACCCGGAATAATCTGTCGGCAGTGACTTAAGGAGTCGCCTGGCGGCATCATGATGGACAGACGAACGGACAGTACAGTTTTCAATTAAGCCAGAGACAAAAGGAAATTAATTAAATTGTTGCAATTCCATCCATAAAGAGTCCTCTCAACGACAGCGATCTGTAAACCCTTGAAAATCATGTCATCACATTTTTCGTCTGCATTTAAAAAACCGAATTTCGCTTGCCAAATGAAATCACAGCCCATCGTTTGGCACTTCATATTCCGTGTGCCCCTAGGATTTCGACGGAATATCTGAAAAAACAAGCTCTGAAATTAAATGCAAATGAAAGGCCCCAAAAAAGCGTTGCAATGTCGGGAATGAAAAGCGGCTACATATGCCTGTTTATATGCAAATATTACTTGTACATATGTGCGTAAACATTTGGCAATTACTCGGCACCGGGGCGGTGTCTTTGTTTCTTTTATTTTGTACAGCCTGGAGGCCGCTGTTTGTTCTATTTGCTGATATACAAATAAGTATGCAAAAAATACCTACATTCGAACGGTGGCGACCTTTCGTCTCGTTTTGCATCTGGGGAATTTTAATTTAAATTCTGATTAAATTTCAGTGCGCCTCAGTGCAGAAAGTCGTCTGCTATAGGCATATTTCTACAATTTATATATTGTATTGATTGTTGTACTACGAAGTCTCCCAGATTATTATTCCCACTGACACTGGCCCACTAAGCTGGCATTTGTTATGCAAATTTATTTTCGATTACTTGTTACCAAAGATTTGCCTGAGATTATGCAAATGTGTCAAAAGGAGGTCCCTATATCTTGCCCCATAGATCTACATTACTGCTGCCTTACAAGTGGCTTATTACTGTTAGTGTTTGTCGGCTGTCAGGAAGTCGGATAAACGTTGCAAATATGAAGTGAAGAGAAAAGAAAAGAAACTTTGCATATTCTCATGAACATTTTTGACGGCATAAAAAAGCGATGAGTTGGAAAATCTACTTTCGCCCCTGCTAACTGCTTATGTTTATCGGCGAATCCATTGATTTCGCATCGAACTCTATGTTATTCGGTAATTTTCCCAACATGTTTCATAACTTTGTTACGGCCATTCGCATAATTGATTTTACTTCCTTGCTCAAATGCTATTTACAATAATTAAACTTGACTGATTTGTGGGTTTGGAAATTTACAAATTGATTTTATTGATATTTATTAATGGGAAAATACAGTGAAGAAACACAAAATATTACCAATTAAACACGTAATAATTGGATGTAACACTTTTCTATTTTTGAAAAATATGTACCTTATTTTAAAATGAATACCCTTTGTGTTTAATTACAACTTCTCCGCAGAAATACAATTTATATTTTACCTCTTAAATATATTTACGTTTTTTTCGCGCGTTCTTTGACTCTTTCTAGCACTGCTCATTTATTATAATGTTCAGGAATCTGACACTTTTTGCAAATAAAATCAAACAAATAAATTAAATTTGCCACGGTCTTTTGACTGTCATTTTAATCATTTTTTGCCAGTTCCATAAAGTACGACATTGATTGCATTCGTGGCTCCATGTCTCACGCCGGAAAATTGTACAAAAATTGCCATATAAATGGAAAGGAATATACATTTATTTGTATTTGGGGGAATATTTTTATTGGCGGTTACCTTTGGCTCGCTGTGCGGTCGTTTAATTGAATAATTATATACCGATACACATATATGGGTATAATTTTTTTGCCACTCGGCTTATATCGATTCGCATAGCTTGTAAATCAATTGCCATTACAATGTGCTTCCGTTGGATGGCATGCAAATGTAACAAACGGCTCAAACGGCCCAAACGGCAATACGCCTTGACAAACTCAATAAAAGTCTGCTTCCCCTCTGCAAAGTGTTGTCAAAGCAGGGCAAAAAAGGGAAAACAAAAAATATACAATGTATATATAAATAATTGTGCATCTGCTTGGCGTTAATTGCACTTTAAAAACAACCTCAAACAAGTGCCGAAATGGTAAATGCAATATATTGCTGTTGGCAATTGGCAGCTAACGAGTGCTTCAAATTGAACACGGATGCACTAATTAGAATTTTTGGCCAAAACAATTAGCAATTTAAGCTGAATTATTTCAATTTGCCCAAAAAACACCCCGATGGCCAGAAAAACACTTTTATTCAATTTCCGCTGATAGAACTGGAAGCTGACGAATGCGAATTTTATTACTCATGCTCTAACAAAGTCATTGGGTAGTCATTTTTTATTGAGTTGTTGTGGACCAAGTTGATTTTAAATAAAATACAAAAATCGAGTTTTTGTCACTCATTCTGACTTGCAAGATCCTTAAGATTTACATACTTCTCTGTGGGGTTGCTTTATAATGTTCCTCGCCAAAATAAAAATAAGCAATAATCTGGCAGTCACTTTATTTCCAAATTTTGTGCAACTCATGTAAAATAATTAATATAAGCAGGCCCAAGAGTATACGCCTTGACCAACATTAATTGCATTATTATTCATTAGTTTAACCATCATATTTATTTAAATTAGTCGGGACTTATTGCCTTCTTTTTAGAGCCCTCCCTTTAAATGCTTAATATTATGGGTGCATATAAACTTGTATGCTTTTGGTTTTTAGTTATTTCTTTTTATTTTTTGTTTTGTTGAGCAGGTCAAAGCTAACTAACTAGTTGAGTTTTGCGGTTTTAATTGTGCCAAGTAACGCGGCCACCTCGGTTGTTGCTATTGTTGTTGTCGTAACTCTCATTGTTGCGGTTTGTGGGCACATTTTGGAAAGGTTAAGTACCCGGTTAGAGGTAGCAAATTAAATAATTACAAACGACTGTGAAAGAGCCAGAGTTATAGGCCTCCCGACGAAGGACAGTTGATATGAACAACTTTTAAGCAGAAGATACACATCTAGACTTTTTCGAGCCAGCTCTTAAAAGTAAGTATACGAGATATAATGTGTAACTTAAGATTGCTCCATTACTTATATACTTTTATGTATATACTTTTTAACTAAATAAACTTTTAAAAATAAATAAGAAAAAAATAATAACATTTAAAATTGGATTTGTTATTATCTGTCAATGAGAACTGGTTGAGATATTAATCTGTGCTATATCTTTATATCAATCGCCACATCTTTCGTTCGCTTTGACTCTCTGACGAAGTATAACAAAAGTCGAACCCAGCTGAAAAGTTCAAAAAACGTGAGACAAAAGACAGCAGAAGCGACAGCAAAAGCAGCACCAGCAGCAGCAACTCAACTCGCATTCATTTGGAGATTCAACTTCGGCTGAGTTTGCATTTAAAAGCCGTTGCGGTTGACCTTGGACTGCATAAATCGAATTGGAGCAGGTCGTTGACGAAGCTGCTTCTTTCTCGTTTTGCCGCTGGGAATGCGAAGCCCTGCATTTATCTGGGCATCCTTGAGCTGGATGAGTGAGGAAATCCCCGCGGCATCTTGGCTGTTAAAGTGGTGAGGCCATTGGCCTGCGGTTACCTGTGCTCCTTGAAGTTCTTCAACTGGCTGCAGATGTTTTTTCCGAGCAGAAAACCTCGGATTGCAGGAACTGTGGCAACAATTTGTTATCGATTTGCCTTGTTGTGAATTTTATTTATTTTGTTTTGCCTTCGCTGATTAGCTTTGCGGCTGGCAAAGTCAACAGAAACGTAAAGAACACGTTTGCTTTTAGTTAACCAGTTTTGGCAATGCCCAAAGATTGCGATTGAGCAAAGATTGAGCGGACACAGGCACACAGGTACACTGGCACACAGAAACACACAAAGATACTGCTGACTAGACGAAGCGTGGTTGTTGTTTTGAATTTTGGTTTTACTTGCACAATTAGCCAACAGTAAAAATTACCACACTGAGATGGATTTGAAAGCTGCACCGCACAATAATCGCCGCTTAAGTTGGCTCATTCACAACAACGCTCGCAAAACGATCTGCAAATTGCTTTGATTTATGTCGGCCGAATGAAAAAGCCCCGCGCAAAGCCAAACTTGAAGTATCTTAACACTCAGCTCAGGTTCTCGGCTATATTTGCTCAACAGTTTCCGCGTTTTGCTTCTCGACTCGCCGACGACGTGAATTCAACTGATCAGCTCAGCAAAACCAACTTCGTAGCGCTGACAGATCGCCCAATTCGAAAATAGCATCGGCCATATCGACTGCGGCGTCGGCAGCGACGTCAATTTTATAAGCAGCGTTTTTAAAGCCGTCTAAACGACCCGTCTAAAAGATCAAAATAGTAAGTGGAGTGGTCTGACTTCTGCGCCCGAAACTGTTCCTACTTTTCTCGCACGCGGAGAACGGTTTGGGGCAGGTTGGAGTCTGTGCTAGGCTTTTGGCCGATCGGCTGCAAAAAGCTTTGATCGCGAGAAAGAGAGATATAATTGTTGTTGCCCTGGCTAATAGTTAAAATGGTTAAATGAAGCCGTTTTTTCCCGTTTGAAATTTTGTTTGGTGGGAATAAAAATGTGGAACTTCTTATTAAATTTTAACTTAAATAAATAATGTAAACTACAGAATTTAATCAAGCATTTGTTTCTGTATTATGAGAATTAAGTGTTCCAAATATAAAGAACATAAAGAACCATATTTAGAGATGTTAAATTCTTTGCTAAAAAATACAACGAAATTTTAGGCAATACGATTTATTATAAAAACCGGAAATACATGTGTAAATTGTGTAATCAAGGCTAGGAAAAGCCATGAATTCAGTTTGTATATTTTTATACACATACTTTGGAAACTTTCACTAATGCAACCAGTTTGCTAAAAGGACTTCCCTAACCAAAAACACAATAAATGTTTATCATATATTGCATTGTGCCCCAGCAAACACACAAAGCCTGGGCGATAATGGCAGTACTGCCGTCGGCCTAATGCGACCTCTGACTTTGCTGATGTGCGTTGGGCACGCAAATCGGTTATTAGCTATAATGCACATGAATTATATATATATATGTATAAATCGCATATTTTCGACGGTGCAGTGCTGCGACTGTGTGATTATGAGCCCCGATCCCACACGCTGCCCTTTTGTTCGGGCCTGGGCTCAAAGATAAGCGACTCTCGGGCCCATTTGTACTAAATAACTGGAACAACAAAAAACAAACTGGCGAACGAAAGGCAAACAAACTGTCTATTAGTTATTGTTGTTTGATTTGCAAAGCGTTTGTCATTTGTTAAATAAATTGATGGCCATTGCGGACCTCTTGGCAAATAGCAAGTAAATTTAAAAAGGCACACAAGTGGCTGAAATGTCCTGAAAAGCAAACACTGGGCTTATGATTTAAGGCGGGCCCAGGAATTTTCGGCCCATTGGCCATTGTTAGAAACTTTTGGTGAAACTTTAAAGTCGAAGGCTGTCAGAAGGCCTCAAAAGCAGCAGCAGTTAAGCATGACAAACGCCAGGGCATCTCGGGAGGACATCTTTGCCCCCTACATTATCCTCCAAATATCATCAGCTGTCAGTGCAGTGAGTTGAGACTTCAGCCACCAAAAAACGAGTCTGCAGTGCCACCGAACAAGCAAGGAGCCTGCGAGGGAGCACTAGGAAATGAAATGACATTGACATTTTGAATAATGACGCAACAAAATCTCAACGGGAATTGCACAAAAAAAAAAACAACTGGGTATTATATCAAACAAAACAAATTGTATAGGTTATTTAAAATGGTTATTACAATTAATTGTACAGTTTTTGTAATTATTAATTTTAAAATATTTAATATTTAAGTCTAAAGTTTAACTATAATTATATTTAGTCATAATAATTAACATAATACTACTTATTTTAAAATATTAATTAATTTTACTCAGATCACACTGAAATATCCTAATTCAACATTTAATCAGTTATCCGTCTTACCAGTCGGAATAAAAATGTGTATTCAGAAGATTGCACTTAAAAAAATCATTTTGATAAGACACAAGGTCTTGGAAATATAAAAGATATTACTAAATAAGAACATGTTAAATTTTTTCGATGTGTAAGCACAGATTCCCAGTGCAGAGGCCACCAACAGGGAGTTTCCAATTGGACTGGCCCGGCGGGAGATGTTCGCTTGCCTGCTGGCAGAGATTAGCTGCAAATTTTGAAGGATGTTCCGACCATATCCTCACCGAGATCCATCTGGAATAATGGTCTTTGCTATTTCTCCAGCCAATTGCGAATTGGCTGAAGTTGACTTGGGTTCGCGCCCAACGAGCGGCCCTAGCCCCTAATGAACATTGTCTTAGGTGTTGTCAAGTGCATTTCGCTAGGGGAAAGAATGTCATTAGAGTCCCCGTCCCGGGCCCCTCCTAAATGGCCAAATGGAGTAACAAAGCTCCGGCGAAGACGATGCCAAGTGGCCATAATCACAGAGGTGCAATTTGCAGCGTGGAAAATGCTGCACAAAGTGCCAAGTGGAAAATACGGGCAAAACAGCAATAAGAATGCGAATGAGAATGAGAATAAGAGTAAGCAGCGAGCGAGAAATAGTTGGAAAAACTAAAATTAAACTGGCTCCGCGACTCTGCACTGCTGCACATTTTAATATGATTCTTTTCGTAGCCCTGCCAACATTTAGCTTTAAGTTCCGAGTGTTGAAAAAACAACTTGAGATTGTAATTAGTTTTTGTTGCTGCTGGGTTTAACTGAAGGGAAACTTTTAAATTGAACCGAAGACGCTGGCGGTGGATCGGAATATTTTGCGGTCTCAACTTTTACACGCTGGTCGTACCAAATTGCAAATATGTCTGCGAAAAATCTCATTAAGTATACGAAATGTGGTACGCGCCATGTCGCCGAGGGAGAGAGCATAAAAATGCAAAGGAAAAAACAAGGGCAGAACGAAAATGAGAGAAGGAAAGTAAATAAAAATTATGAATGTCGTTTGCCCAGATGGGAAAGGAAAGGAAAAGCGAAAAGTGAAAAGTGGAAAAACCATAGCAAAGCAAGACGAATCGTTAATGACTTAAAGTCCTTTCAGCTTTCTCTTTTTCTGGCAACAGGTAACTCTGTCTAGAGTGGACGGGTAAACTCAACCACGGAATGTGTCAAGTTTGAGAAGAGTTTGTTTCAGCTGGCAGTTCTTTTCCAACCACAAAGTTTATCTGGAGGTCATCAAACGAGCAATTTGGGTCTTGTCTAGGTCATTTGCTAAGCAATGAGCCCAATTATTCGCGTAATTTGCGTTTGACAAGCTCTTGCGAAACATTTGTGAATTCCTCGCAGTGAAATAAAAATTACTTAAAAAATAGTATTTAAATTATAAATTTGATAGTATTCAAAAGAAGCATAATATGATAAAATATTTGTATTACACGATTCGTTATTTATATATTTAAATATTAATTTAACAAAAAAGTATTATATACATTTAATAGTCTGTTAAGGCAGGGCAGCATCATTGACATGCTTAGATAACTAGAACGTCAAGTTTTGTTTTTAAATTTTCCAACTGCTACGATTTCGAACGATTTTAGAGATGGGGCTGTAACGTTATGGCGACTAGTCGAGCTATCGATATTTTTAAAGCACGTAACAAAAATAGGCATTAAACGCTTTTAAGAATGCCAAACTTTTAATTCAAGTTAAATTAAATGGAGTGGTACTCGAGACAGAAAATCTCACCTTGTTTTCTCATTCCATTTAAACGCCAACGCAGCGGTTTAAAATGTTTGACTTTATAATTTTCAAATTTCAACGTTTAATTAAACAAACTGGCTCAATTAAAATGGTACAACCACACAATGCGCAAACGGAAAACGAAAGGCACAACAACCACGAAAAAAAGGCAGTGGAATTATTTCATTTGCGAAAGTCGCTTTCATTAGACGATTTGCTGGCTGCAGACGTCGACGCTCAATGTCAAAAACGTTTTAACCTTTTAAGCGACACAGTAATGCGACCAAAGCTGCCGTTTCGGATGGTTAGGGAGTGGCGAAAAGGCAGTGGGTGGTTGGTGGTGGTCGTGCAGAAACAGGGCGCAGGATGCCAAGGACATGATGCTGAATCTGATGGGCTCTGGCAACACATTGAGGTTACGCGAAGCGAGAGAAGACAGCCAGACAGCAGTCTTAGGCTCAGATTCCAGCCAAGTCGAGTTGGGACAGGGCCTGAATGTGATTTTGGGTTAACGCAATGCCGCATATTACGATGCAATACAGAGATACCTTGACTGCATTATTTTAAGAGTAAGTCTAGTATATGTTTGTATACCGAACGCCCTTTTACTACCACTGAAATTTTACATAAAGGCTCACTTGTTAAAGAGTGCTTGAGAAAAGTATATATTTTATTTTCTTAACCTAACGGACTTTTTATAATGCAACAGTGTACTTTATGTACAGTTTTTTAAACATAATGAGCTATACATAATAATAAGTTCTTTAAAGCCAACCATACGCTACTCATAGTCATATGCTTAAGAACGACAACAGAGCTTTAAATTCATCCACAGCTGAATTTAAGACCTCATTTTAAAGACAATGAAGTTCTTTAGCACTGTAACATGTAAAATAGAGTACTTAAAACATGAAGATAATATTGATCCAAAGGGCGCAGCTACTATGTACATACAGAAAAGAAAATAATGCCCCACTCAGACCTCTGATTGCCCACTGCTAATTATACTTAAAATGCCGTCCTTGCCATCAGCAACTCAATTGTTTGTCTGCCGCCGCCGCGCTCAACATGGCGTATACGTGATGCTATGATAATCATGCTTATTTACAATAAATCTCGACTCCGGGGCTCTGTTCTTCGGTCTCCGGGCCAAAGTGAAGTGTTAGGACCATCAACGCGCCCCCGTAGGCTGATGATTTATTTAATGCGTAATCTCTACCAACGCCTGCCAGACGAGAGAAGAGAGAAATGTTATAAACATTATGATGACAGCACCTCAAGACTATTATTTTTGCTATTATTGTTATTATACCCTCGAGTTGAGTGCTTTGTTTGACACCCTTGAATATAATCAATTAATCGCGCCACTTGCCAGGGCAAAAGTTTTTGAATACCTCAGCTCAAGTTCGTCTCAGCTCTCGAGCACTTTTTGAGTCACGTAATTAGCTTAGTCTGGACATCAATCAAAGGATTTTCCAAGGGACTAAGGGA